AACAAATTTTAAAATAAAGGGCTTTTCAACAATGGCTTTTATGGCCAAGATAATGTCATGGCGTTTTCGCCACCTGAATATAGTAGGTTGTTTGTTCTAAAGAAGGCCTACCAATGGGGAGTCACGGGCACCCCAGGATCCCCCCTGGCTACGCCCTTTTTCGTAGATATCTCACCGCTGATGCAGCCCAGCTTCTTGTTCATACCCTAGTCACATCAAAACTTGATTACTGCAACTCGCTCAGTATTACATGATTTACCTAAGTATCTGATTAAACAGCTTCAGCGTGTTCAGAATGCAGCTGCTCGTGTTGTTACTGTTTCACCAAAGTTTTGCCATATTACACCTGTTCTCAAAAAACTCCGTTGGCTTCCGATTGATCTCCGAATTGAATTTAAAATACTCACTATTACCTACAAGGCTCTTCATGGTCTCGCTCCGACTTACATTAAAGACCTTCTCAAAAACTATCAACCACCACGCAACCTTAGGTCTTCAACGAAGAATCTACTTGTCGTCCCTGCCTTCCACACAGATAGTTATGGCCGTCGTGCTTTTTCTGTTGTCGCACCGCTTCTCTGGAACAGTCTTCCTCGGCATGTTAGGGATGCCGGATCACTTGATATTTTTAAAAGACGGCTTAAAACTGCTCTTTTTACACGTGCTTTTTAAATTCATGAAATGATCTTGGTGTCTTATAATCTTAACTAACTAATTTTAATTATTTTAAACTATTTTTGAAATGTGACTTTGTAAATAGCGCCTTTGGACCCATGGAAAAGGGCGCTCTATAAATGTCTTATTATTAAAGGAACGGATTTAACGTCGAGTTAAAATAAACCAAGACAACTGTTACTTCCCGTATCACGAAAGAGTGCAATGAATATGTTTTGCTATGGGTGATCGCAATGAGGTGTGGCAAATAACAAAACAGTTAATGCTAACCGCACCCACAGTGCAGTGTTCACCAGCTTTTTGTACAGTGCGAAGTTCAATGCAGTCGGTCGCCTCGGCTGTTGTTTAACATGATCTTGTACTTTAGCATGATGATGACAAAGAGCAGGGAGAAACTTCGGTTAAGAGGCGACAAGGAAAGATGGTGTAACTATACGGCCATACAACTAGTTATACGGTGATCTAATGGGTAGCATAAAGCAGCAACAGTGGATCCCCAAAAGGCAGCTGTGTCATATATGTGCGGTTATAAGTTACAATTAGTCTATATCTCAGCCCAAACAACAGAGCGAGAGTTCTGACCACGCCAATGGCAGCCACTGTCGACAGGCACTCCATATAATCCATAGCCTGCGATGTATGCCGCGTTAAATCGCTAGTTATAACATGCGTTCGACAATCGGCTTGGTTATCTTAAGTTTGTTTGTGACAGGTTGCGTTTAATTTCTTTGTTCGAGTATGCTCGTAGAGAGTGAGTCGGAGAGTAAGACCATCCAATTTTCCCAAAACTCAAAACTGCCCTCAGTTCTCCGTCGTGTGCCCCCTGTCGTGTGCCCCCTGTTGTGTGCCCCCTGTCGTGTGCCCCCTGTCGTGTGCCCCCTGTCAGCCAATTGTTAATGAAATCAAGCTATGTGCAACCACTGTTTCTGCAATAATGGTCTGATTTTCCGTTGGATGATCGAAGATGTCGGTGGCATGGACTACAAAGCATGGTTTCAGCTTCGATTGTGTTGCCGACTTCGAAAGATTGGGATGTTCCATTTCGAGAAGAACAGCATCCATAGTAGGGCATGGAGAAAGATTTCTGGGTTGTTTCTTTCTTGAGACAGGATTCCTCTATGGTTATTGCGTGATGATATCAATACTAGAAGCAACTACTGATTGATGTAACCTGAACATTTATTAATCAGATTCACAATACTATTAAATGAAGTTTAAGTTTAAAATGCCAGACTAGGGATATAGCTTCTCGTTTCGGCAAAATGAGAAAAATACGGAATCGCATAACAAAGGCAAAATGCCCATAGTTGGGAGAGACGAAAAAATAGTTTTTAGAAGCAAGACTGATGAAGATCTGAATGAGTGGATAATACAGCACACGAAGCAAAACCAAAGCATGCAACTTGAAACGGTGCTATCTTTCATTGGCTCTCTCTTAGAAGCCATTTAAAGCAAAAGATTATACAAAAGTTTATGACCTTTTGATAAAAAAAATAAAAATGAAACGTCTTTCTGGCAGTTTACATTTTATTGAATAATAAAACTGATCGTTATGACGAATGGCCACTGACGTAGATTGTTACATTTTTACCTCTATCGTTTGTAATTACAAGCCGATGAAATCGAAGAGAAATAGTCTCTCTGGAGAGTCTCGCCCAGTAGGTTCTTCATGGAGTCACTTCTAGTTGTATGCTTGTATAATTTCCCATCTTTCCCCCAATCAATATACCTGCATTTAAAAAAATGAAAGGATACGGTTACTATAAAATTTACCCGAAAACAATCCTTTCACTTCCCCTGTCACGTCAATGACTGTGGCATTATACGTGCCTGATAACCAACAAAAGTTAGTGGAGGCAAGACCTCTACTTCACCGTTTTTCTGTTTGATATGCTGTTTTTGTAGGCTCCGTTCATTTACTTCCAAAATAAATTGCAGAGGTTATCTTGCAGACCTCCTTTATCGAGGTTGTTGGTGAATAAAGGAGTTTCCGGCAACTCTATGATCATGAATTGTTTCATTTATTTCAACATGAATGTTGCGTTTCGTGTTCAGACAGGTCTAAGAGTCTTCACAATATACCGACATAATTAACTGGAGATAAAGAAAAGAATATCATCAATATCTATGGCGGTAGCGAACTGCGAACTCAACCTCAAGACCATTAAATTCAAGAAGAATTCTATCATGAGAGGTCACACGCTATAAATTGGAAGATCGTTCAAAATAAGATGAAATGGATCTGACATAAACATATCCATGTTCGTGCCCGAATAATACAAATAAGTTTAGGTACTCTGTGTCTTCTTCAATGAAAAGGGTGATTTGGCGAGTTGACGAGCAATTTCTATCAACGTCCTTTATTCTCGGAAGTTGCATTAAATGTCCCAATAATATGATTCTGAACCAGTTTATAATTTTTTGACAGTTCAAAAACAGGGTAACCGTGTCCAACGAAAGTGATCTTAAAAGTAGTTAATATTTTTATTTAGAATTTCATTATCATTGTTTTCACTTTTTGTTTTTTATTTGTTTGTTTTTTAATCTAGTCTTACGCATCCGGAGTAGAGTTTTTCACTAAATAAGGTCATATCACGGCCGAGCAACAATTATGTCGTCGAATCTTGTCTGTTCTGCATGAGTAAGTCATTCAGTTCCGCTGCCAAGTGTGTTTCCTTTTCACCTTTCTCGCCTATTTTCTTCGCTAATTAAAAACAATTAGTTTTGCAGTGATTATGTCACTTGAATTTGCGTCAATTCATACCAAAGTTGATAACAAAAATATATCACTAGGTCAACCTAAAATATTTTCAATATCAAGTTACAGATTCTACATATCCTCCTGGGATATAATTTGTCTAAGCTGACGAATTATTTTAAATTGAATTTCAACCGCCAGTAAGTATTAAATCATTTAGCCCCATGCCTGTGCGAGCTTCGTGATTTTGTTCTGTTTATGGTAGAATATAATTTAACAGCTGTGTATAACTTTGTTGAGACTGGTATTGACAGCATCCCTATTCTGTATTTAATGTCAAGCTTTTTGCTTTTTTCGTTTTCTTATCTTCATGATGCCTCGGAGATCGATTTTCGAACCGCATAAAGTATTTTAATTGATCTATTCACTATTCTGACTGTCATTTGGAACGATGTATGATTGTGTCAATGCTCTGCAACGGTATTGTTCTATATAGATTTTTGTGTAAACATTAGTTTTATAAATGGCCCCTTCCTGCACCATATTGAATTTCCCCGCAACATTTCATTAAGATTTCATGAAAATTAATGGATTTAACGAACGTAATTAAGTTTTCAGCTCGTAATCAGGCAGTTAGCGTGGTCTGGCGGTTAGTTCATTTGCATAGTGTTCGCAACAGGGTTTTGGTTCCGCTACGCTTGTGTTGTGATCACTCATCTCGAAATAAATATAACAAGTCCGATGGAGTAATTTCTAGCGATCAACATAGGAAAGTTTCGTGGAGACTTGAGGCTGCTTGTTTCTTCGAACTTACTTTCAGGTAGGTCTTACACGACGAAGTATACTCTACCGGCAAAGTATTCATCTTAAAAGAGTAAGATGTAACCTGTGGTAAAGAAAACTTTGTTACCTGTTAAATTTCTGTTAACCTGTGATGTAGTCTAAACTCGGCTGTCACGTTTCACTTATACTTACAAGAACCAAAATTTCAGATCTTGGAAGGAAACTGATGTTGGTGCAGGATGTACCTGTGGATAGACGCAGCAGGCTGGGGCAACTTGTATTTAATCGCCTTCAAAAACCACCGTTTGCGTGAGTGCTGTGGTGCATGAACCCATTGCTGTAATTCGCTTGGCAGCACTCACGCAATGGAGTCACAGTTACAACGATTTAATTCCTCTTATCTTTCAAGGTGATTAAGAATCGAGTTGTTATTTTTCTCTAAGGTTCTTCTCCAACTGAATATTACCATGACTGACTCAAACAGTACAGTTTATGAAGTTTGGTCGACAAACGGCAGTGAGTTTATCGTCGCCCTGATTTTACTAGGTAAGAGACGGTATCCAAGCAATATGTGTTGCTAACAGTGTTCATACTTAGCTCTCAATGTAAAACTAATTATCACCACTGAAACATTACTATTTCCTTGGTGATTCCGCTAGATTCTACAATGAAAACTGGATATAAGCTAGTTTCAAAATAAACCTAGATGAATTTGTGTTCACGTATTCCAAATATTTTCAGCAAAAATCGAATACTTTTACTTCCGCTGATTGACGACAATGTGACGTCCGAAACCAAAGACATACTGTTTCACAAATACCTATTTCACCTTAACGAGAATAGTCTTTTTAAGGAAATTTTATTAATTTGCGAAGCCATCTGCAGGTTTCTGCCTGCCGGGGAGGGTAGGTAGGCTATTGTCCGAAAAAAAATCCGAATAAACTAAGCGAACTATAACCCTGCTAGTTAAACTTTGATTGAAAAAGATTAACTCCTTATATCTCACTGTTTTTAAGATAAAATCTTTATATCCCTACTGGGGAAATAACCTTTGGCAATATTCAGAGGTTTATAACATTTCATAAAACATTAATGAATTCTGACGCAGGTTTCCTTTTAAGTATGTAAAAGCGGATCAAGGTGTAAACATTTCGGCTCCGCTTCGATTTTAGACTTAGATTTAGTGACATTCAAGTGGTAGAGAGCTGCTTAACGTGCAGGAACTAAAGGCTTACCAAACAAGAACAGCAACACCTCCCAGAAAGGCTTAGGATAAATTTTCCATGTGTGTATTGTTTAGCCACCTCTCATCGAGGTGATCCTTTCAGCGTAAAAAAAATATAAGAAAAACCTGATAAAACCCATTCTTAGTGTTTATACCTGTTACGCGCCGAGTTTGAGATCCGCACCGTAAACTAAAGACCGAGTTTTTCCAATTTGACAAGTGGCCTCAGCGCGATAAGTATCCTAAAATTGTACTTCAGACCAGGAAAAAATGATCAGCAAGATACTTATCACATCTCTTTGGTGTGTCTCACTTTGTTTGTCGGGCCGAAGACTCTTCCAAACGTCCAAAGGCCTAACTTGAAGTCAGCAATCACTTTTCAGCCGTTATTCGCGTTGATTTCACGCGAATCGAGGGATCATGAAAACGAATCCTTATTTCTTAACTCTATCTGTCTTCCTTTTGAACCCCAAAAGATCTCCGGACTTCGTTATATACATTAATAACCTCATTTACTTTATGCTGTCGGTAGGTTATAATGTCTTTACATCTTTTAATGATCTCGTTAACTTCGATGAAGATATTAAGTTTATGAATTTGGAAGTAACGTTCTTTAATTTTAACAGGGCCGTTCAATTCGTTAACGACGTCGTCAGGTAAACAACGGCGTTAATTCCATTACCAGTTTGTTAATGATGTCAACAACCCATAGAACGTCATAAAGTTTATGACCCCGTTAATTTATTCTTGGATTCATTTATTCTTAAGTCGTTCCGTTTAGGTTTTTGTTAGTAACATTTTAAACTGTAGCTTTCATTTGAAGTTCAAAGTAACTATTGTTTAAATTCTGTTTCTCGAAATAGCATGGAAAGTTCATTAATATTTCATAACAGTATGGTAACAGTGGGAACTCTGTCTGCTTTTTTCCCGTATATCCACTCTCTCAAATGTCAAAATGGATTGACAAAAGAGATGAATCCTTGTCTTAACAGGAAATGATCAATTGTAACTCCTGCGGTTCACACCATTATTTGACTGCTGTTGCTATGGAGCATAATGTAGTCGATTTAACTATAGTGCTATCAAATTTCCTTCAACACGTTGATTTTATAGTGTATTATGCCAATAGTTGTTGAGATCTGTTGACGGAAGCCTATTCTAAGATAGTGAAACAGTTTGGCAGACTCAGTCGTTAAAATAAGTTAGTATTGCAGGTTAGGCTCAGTTAGTCTCAGTCAACGGGATCGTTGACATCATCATTCCTTGTTACCTGTTTGTGATGCGATGGTCAGAGCGTCAGTCACTCCTTAACGGGACAGGATCAAACAACTTGAGCGACTGAAACCCCATTTGCTGTGACGCGCGCAATTTTTGTTTCCACGTCTTAATGAATAATCCACTCCTTTTCTTTTTTTTCGTAAAGGATCCATCTCTCTGGTTGGTTTGTTCGGTAACTCTATTGTTGCTTCTGTAATCGTTTCAAGTCGACGACGTGGTCAGCGGTCAGCCGTCCAGTTGTTTCTCTTTCACCTGGCGATTTCAGACTTGCTAGTGTGTATAGTCTGCATACCGCTGACCATATGGATCAATTTCTACTATCCAAAACAGGACAAACGAGGAGCTGGTGCGGCGTGTAAGATAGCACGATATATCCAGGTTAGAACATTTGCACAGTTTAGCTTGTTGCACAAGCATTCATTTACCAGATCAATGGAGAAATCCCATTAAGTGACCCATCAATTGCGCAAATAAGCAAGATTATTGTTTCGCATTTCATTTGGTCTGGTATGGTCTCAGAAGTTGAACATAATGCGAAAAGTATAACTCCACAGAAGTACTGAGTGTTCAAATATTTTATGCTAATGAAGTTGCCTGCAAAATTTGAAGTTTTGCTAGAAGAATTATTTTTTATGTTTTGTCCACTTTGTAATTTGATATCAATCAGCTGCTTATCCCATAGAGAAAACTGAATTTAAACCACAACAGACAGTCTGGCAACAAGAGCATCTTGTGAAAGACCATTTCAAAAACACAAAACAATTCAATACAATAATATTATTAACCAGCCATAAAGAAAAGGATTAGATAGACTTTCTCTACTTGACATTTCTATAGAATTTTACGATTATAGCAGTAATAGAAAGAAAAATTTGGTATCTTAAAACTGAATTTGATTCACAGTACTTTCATTCCATACTCTTCTAAAAAGATGTACCTAGCTAGTTTGCGCGTTTGTTTCTTTTAGTTTCTGGCGCCATCCAGCTCCATCTGTTTACTAACTGTTATTAGCATTGATCGTTACTACTCTCTGGTTCGTCCATTACAAGCGATGAAGGCGTGGCTTCGCCCTAAAGTTCTGATCACTGCCGGATGGATCTATGGAGGAGGGATATTCCTACCCACGTTTTACTTCGCTGACACCGAGAATATCCAATCAGGAGACGAAACATTTTGGTATTGCCGTACCATTCCTAACAACACAACAGCTGGCTTCATTTACCTATTGTTCCTTTCCGTCTTTGGATTCGGTATTCAGTTGATCACCATAATTGTGTTATACAGTCGCGTGGGAAAGGCAGTGTGGAGCCGAGAAAGAAAAATCTCTCGCACTGGAACACTGTCCACGGCTGCCACAGAATCGCTGGACAAAACAAGAAAACGCGTTACAAAGATGCTTTTAACTGTTGTTATATGCTTCCTCCTCTGTTGGGCTCCATTTGTCATATACACTGGCTTCATTGAGAGATCAGTTGCTCCATTCCCTAATCCAGCCGATACTGTTCGAGTGATTACCTATGGCTTCGGGCAATTCAATTCAGTCTGCAATCCATTCATCTACTTTTTTAACAGCCCAAATTTTCGAAGAGTTTCTTTACGCAAAGTCTGTTTGGAGGTCATAGATACCATTGGACAGGATGACAACAGGGCCAGCCGCTCGACAGGGAGCTCAGACGAGACATGTCAAACAGACACGGTTGTGAGGCCTACTGAAGAGAAAAGCTCACAACAGAACGGCATCGACAACCATGCACGTCATAACGAGACTCGCGATACCAGACTTTAAAACATGGGCTTATTCGCTATCTGTGAGAAGATCTGACTTGTATGGTAAGCTGGGAAATACGGCTTTCCAGCAGCAAAGAGTTGAGACAGTAATGAAATTAACTACATATTTAGAGGCTTTCTAGAAACCTGATGGTGCGTGTTTCAATTATATATTATTGATATTCAAGTAGGTTCTCAGGTGATTACATAAATGCGCTCTTTCGGTCGTAATCATTACTTATTTTCCAAAACGGAGAAGGAGCAAATGAAAATATATGAATAGCTTTCGTTATGATATTTATTTGAGTAATTATACTAGCCCAAAGATTGTCCTCAGAGTCAATGAATTCTGTCGTATCAATCAATTATCAATCAATTATCTTTACCTTAATGGTTACTGAATTTCGCACAACAGAATAAAATGTTGTCAATCAGTAATTAAATCCCTTGAAATTCACCATAATTTATTATTTTTAAACTTTATACTCAGTTCATGCTAACAGATCGCTTTTATGGAAATTGCGAATGTAAGAAATATAACAAGCTTCATTGTAAAACAGTTGAGAAACGTCAGAGTTATTCCCTAAGATGCTGTGGAAGTCATATAAAATGTCCAAGTCCAGAAAACACGAGATTCGTTAGCACAGCGATGAGCGGCCAGTTGGAAAATATAGACTGGACTCTGGACTGGACTCTGGACTGGACTCTGGACTGGACTCTGGACTGGACTCTGGACTGGACTCTGGACTGGACTCTGGTGGACTTTACTTTTTTGTTAAATTGTATTAATATTAAATGGAGTTAATATTTTGCTAATTATTTTAAATTTTTTTAAAAAATGAAAATTGATCTAAAAAATTATCCGAACGCTCCTCTGCGAAAGCGCGTGGCTCGCGCGATATAAATTTTGCTCTGCGTGCAGCATGCTGGTGAGTGAAATATGCTTTGTTTCCAAGCTTGCAAAGTGTTGACAGATTCAAAACACGGAATAACGAGTTACAATACCTTGTATGAATAAAATAAATAACTAAATTGGAGAAAACGCCCGACTGTATTACATTTTACAAAACGATTCGATGTCAACATTTTACTTTCAAATTCGTCTATAGATTGGCCATGTCCACGCGATACCCGCACGAGAAAACTTCCGATATCTGGCGTGCGATTGTCAGTAAAAAAGAGCTTTGTTTTCAGACGTTCTGTTCTGGGAATATCTGACAGATGCGTTGACAATCGTATTTGCAAGTTTAAGATTAACAATCCAATGAGACACGTAATCTCTCGAGTGCGATTGCCTCGTTATTTCGTTTCTGTAAACTCTGTGTTAAAAAATGAACTGTGGAAGTAGTGGTTTCTCTGACAATGGAGAAGAGAAGGCTAGATCCAAGCGTACATACGCTAGTGTTGTCAGTGGAGACGATCAGTCAACTCCGGTGACAAATCTGTAGACGAATTTGAAAGTAAAATGTTGACATCGAATTGTTCTGTAAAATGTACTACAGTCGGGCGTTTTCTCCAAGTTATTAATTTCGCGCCTAAAACGTCGTTGTCGATCCAGTCTCCTCCGGTATTCTGACGTCCGTGACAACAAAAACGTCTGATGCTTAAGCTCTCTATTTATTTCTTTTTTTCGCATACAAGGTACTGTAACTCGTTATTCCGTGTTTTGAATCTGTCAGCACTTTGCAAGCTTGGAAACAAAGCATATTTCATTCACCGACACGTAGAACAAGCATTCGGGTAATTTTTTAGATTAATTTTTATTTTTTTAAAAAGTTAAATATCATTATTAAAATATTAACTCCATTTAATATTAATACAATTTAACAAAAAAGTAAAGTCCAGTCCAGTCCAGTCCAGTCCAGAGTCAGTCATATTTTCCAACTGGCCTCGATGAGCTTTCCTAATCGAGAGATAATCTGATAAGTCTCAGTTAAAAGCTTGCGTTGCACTGTGATATGGTTTTGATGGTATAAAATGTAAACATATTCCCACCCTGTATGATACGCTGATATAATATGATATATATAATCCAATAAATAATGACAAGTTTTTAGAGTCCTTTTCTCTTAATATAAAGTACTGATATTTCGTTTCTTTCTTATGGTACTCATTAACTTATAAAAGATATCTTCATTTGTCAGCTGTGTTATCCCCATAGGCACGAGGCTACGTGTATATATTAGTTATATTACGTAGGTTCGATCATGTGTGGTTGTTGAATAGAAACCTATTGGAGCGCATTAAAAATGAAGAATCGACATTAAAGAAAAAAACGTAAGTGGCATTTTTCTAGAATTTTTGATTGTCTCGATTTTTATTACTCGTGAGGTTATTGTCAACCTTTCCCTTACCTAGGAGTGTGAAAAATTTCCAGTGCATAGCGTTAACAAATATATTTCGTTTTTGAACTGACCCAGTCAGGGGGATAAGTTTCTAAAGAAACTTTGGTGTTGCGTCGGTGGAGATAACACTGAAGGTAATTTGGTTATATCAACTAAGTTGAAATTTTAAATTTTTTAAGCTTTTGAACTCCTTACAGTGGCCAATTTACAACAATTCAACTTAGTTGATAAAACAAAATTACCCAGTCTATATATAAGCCAGGACAAAAAAAAGAATCGACTCACCAAGCTACATCAGAAACGTAGAAAATCAAGGTTATTGCCTGAAAGGGAGAAGGTCTGGGTAAGATTTTATGGGCATGATAATTACGTATTCATATTTCTGACTTCACGCACTCTTGGCTTTCTACAAGTACGTTTTGACTTTGCAAAGTGACGCCAGGACCTGAGGAAGGCGATTGTTAAGTCTCCCCAGTCTTAAGCCTTAGTCTTTATTCATTCAATTTCCAGTTGTTACTTGAAGCAGTAAGCCATTACCAAAGCAACCTAAAAGCTTCTTAGAAACATTCTTTTGTTTTGTCCTATGTGAGTTGTGAACTCCAACGCGATCTCAGTTCCAGCGTTTTTAACACGGATGCGCGTAGCGAGAAATGAGTTATTAGGGACTTTAAGCAAACCACGACTGCTACGGC